CCCCGGAGCTCACAGGCAGCGGTCAGCCACCTTGACCTCCGGGGCGAGAAAAGCTGCTCCCGGTGCCCCTGGTCTGCTGAGGACCGTCTCCAGCAGACCAGGGGCACCGGGAGCAGCTTTTCTCGCCCCAGAGGTCGAGGTGGCTGACTGCTGCCTGCGAGCTCCGGGGCGCGAGAGCCCCATTCGTAAGTGCGGATCCGACATAAGTTGGATCCGCGTAAGTCGGGGACTGCCTGTACAACGTACTCGTGACACTCATTAAATTTCTGTAATGCCTCCGTTCCTCCTTGCTGTTAGCATTAAGAGATTGCTCAATTACACCTTAACACCCCAACTGCATGGGTGTTTGAAACACAGATCTAGATCTGAATTTTCCATGTGGTCCCTGTCTTACAATGGGCAGAAGTAAGACCAATGCACACTCAAGCTATAGCTAAAGTATCTAATTACAGGCAGTCCCCGAGTTACGTGGATCCGACTTATGTCCCAGGCGTCCAGATTCAGCCGCTGTTGAAACTGATCAGCAGCTGGTTCCAGGAAGCCCTGGGCAGAGCAGCTCTGCCTCGGGCTTCCTGTAGTCAGCCGCTGGTCAGTTTCAACAGCGGCTGAATCTGGACGCCAGTTCCGACTTACATACAAATTCAACTTAAGAACAAACCTACAGTCCCTATCTTGTACGTAACCCGGGGACTGCCTGTACTACAGTTTTTCCTGAAAGTGGTTTCCTTGGGTGCAATGACAGGTGTTCAGTGACATGACTGTCGGGGAAGGAGAAATGGTCTGTGTGGAGCTGGTGGCCAGTGACAAAAGCAACACCTTCCAAGGAGTGATCTTCCAGGGATCCATCCGTTACGAAGCACTCAAGAAGGTCTATGACAACAGGGTAAGACACTTCCTACCCAGAGAATCTCTTTTGGAGCAATGGTGTTAGTGAAATTTCCACAATGGTTTTTATACTATTTATGCTGCCAGCTTTTTGTCTTCTCAGTCTATTTACACTGGATGTCTTTGAAAGTTACCAGAAATGATTGCATGAAATTCACTAGTTTGGGTTTGCACCGGCATAGTCAACAGAAATCATCTGAAGAGTTAGGGAGGAGTTGTAACTCCTGATGTTTGTCTAGGCTTTAAAATTGACAGGTCCCCAAGAAATCTAAGTGAACTTGGTGTGAAATTAGGTTCTTGACAGTTCTGTAATGAAATTGATGTTTTGCCATCCCACTTTGTGTTTGATCCTCCTCTTTTCAGAGAGGTCTTTGGGTACCTTTAGTAATTTTCTAAGAGGTGGGAAGAACCTCTTACCTTTTTGCATCTGTTGGTTTTAACCTATAACTGTTGCCCTGTTACATATCAGATGCCTCTCTCTCGGGTGCTTTGAAAGGACTTCTGCAATTTTCTTTGCCACTGGAGTATTGATTTGCTATGGAAATATTAACAGAAATGGCTTATAATTCACATAAAGTTGATGTAGAATTCCAGAGAGTGAGAGCCATCAACAGAACTTCCCAGGGAGCTCAGCACCAAAGGCAGCTCTGACAAACATGCTAAAAAGTGCATCTAAACTAAGGGGGTTTGCCTCCCTCCACCATAAGCTCAAGCTAGAAGACATTAAAACTTTGGCTATGCTTTATGCTTTGGAAATTTATATTGCAAAATATACATTTGTGTGCCAAATGAGAGGAAAATACTCAGATCCAAAAGTCTGATTGGGTATGCAGTGATAGATGCATCAGTTCAACCATTAGACCAGGGAGGGCTGTGCCTTTTCTATTTGACACTGTACACTTTCTTTTCTCTTCCCCTCCCCCCGCATAAAAGAGATGACCTGAATAATTTATCTTGAGAAAAATAGTGTTTGCTCCTGTATTAACATAATTTCAGGAGACCATGAACTAGCTTCTCTAGTCCTCCTACACTTCGTGTCATGTGACTGTAGGGTTTTGGACAATCAGAAGGTGTGTCCTCTGAGTATACAAAAGACACAATAGAGTAGAAAACGTCTTGTGGAAAGTCAAAATGGAGTGTATCTAAAGCGTAATAGCTAAGGAATGTCCCCACATACTAAAAGTGTATGTTTGATTTTGCTGCTATTTCACATTGTTTTGTTAATAGTCCAACTAGTCTATTTCAGCTAAGTACTCAAACTCGGGGAGGGACTTTACATCTGAACTTGGATCCGTCGTCATTTTTTACTACTACTTGAGGGAATGGAAGAAAATGTGACTGGTTTTTTGAAGACTGCTTGGTTTCCTTTGGTCATATTACTTACAGTTGTAACTATGATGTGACTTGTTTTTTATCAGTAATAAATCTGACCCCTTATCTTTCACTACTGAAAATTTTGAAACACTTTGAATAAATCCCTCTTTGTCAACTGGCTTATCCTTGGCCATTTTGGGACCTATCCCTTTTTCAAGCCTGTTCTCTCTGTTAATTGGGAATTGTTCTATGACTTCTGGTGTGTTTAAGGCCTATCAGGTTAGCTTTTATAGCAGGTTGTTGAGGTTTGCTCTGTATTTGGACTACTAGGCTCTTGAATCCTACTAGGCAATGTAAATTGGAAATATCTGTAAATTGGAAATATCGTCCTCCTTTGTAGACTGCTTTGAGAACTAAAGATGAACAATGCCACATCAGAGCTAAGTGTTGTTCATTATCTACTATATTTGTATACTTGGATTTTAAATCAATATTTTCAAAACGCACAGTTCCAAATGTAGGCCTTAATGTTTTGCATTGGTGTTATTGTGCAGTGCTTAAATGCCTACTAGACAAACATGCTATAGAATTATTCTTGAATGTTTAGCAATTCACATTACACGCTTCTTTCCTTTTCTATGCCTTGTAGGTGAGCGTTGCCGCAAAGATGGCTCAAAGGATGTCCTTTGGCTTTTATAAGTACAGCAACATGGAGTTTGTGCGGATGAAGGGGCCTCAAGGTAAAGGACATGCAGAGATGGCGGTGAGTCGAGTTTCAACCGGTGACACTTCTCCATATGGAACAGAGGAAGATTCTAATCCAGGGTCCCCCATGCATGAGAGAGTAAGTAGTACATGGAAATTTTAAATGAATCTACATATTGGCCAAGGCTCTGATTAACCACAATTCTGTATGTTCTGTACAGCCAACAGGTTCTGTGCCCATTGCTCTTTACCAGATAGTGGAGGAATTTCTAGGGAATTTTGCCACAAATTAGTTTTAGTCTGGGACCGGTGTATTATTAAGGCAAAGCACTTAAGTACATCCTTAATTTTAAGCATGAAGCTAATTCAGTTGCCTTAAGTGGGACTTCTCTGGAAGGAAGATACTATTTCATGTGAGGAAAATATCAGTCTGGCCATACTTCACTTCTAATCAGTTTCATAGAATCTTAGAATACTAACACTGGAAGGGACCTCAAGAGGTCATCGAATCCAGTCCCTGCCCTCATGGCAGGACCCAATACTGTCTAGACCATCCCTTATAGACATTTATCTAACCTACTCTTAAATATCTCCACAGATGGAGATTCCACAACCTCCCTGGGCAATTTATTCCAGTGTTTGACTACCCTGACAGTTAGGAACTTTTTCCTAATGTCCAACCTAAACCTCCCTGGCTGCAGTTTAAGCCCATTGCTTCTTGTTCTATCCTCAGAGGCCAAGATGAACAAGTTTTCTCCCTCCTCCTTATGACACCCTTTTAGATATCTGAAAACTGCTATCATGTCCCCCCTCAATCTTCTCTTTTTTTTAAACTAAACAAACCTAATTCCTTCAGCCTTCCCTCATAGGTCATGTTCTTTAGACCTTTAATCATTCTTGTTGCTCTTCTCTGGACCCTCTACAGTTTCTCCACATCCTTCTTGAAACGTGGTGCCCAGAACTGGACACAATACTCCAACTGAGGCCTAAACAGTGCAGAGTAGAGTGGAAGAATGACTTCTCGTGT